ATTAATAAAATGCGATTAAATAACTGTGCAAACGTTTAATTTGTTTAGTGTTAAATTGAACGTAAGTTGACAGTTTATTTATTAAAAATTTAATATTTGAAAAGAAAAATGCATGTTCTCTAAGAAGTAACAAAGTAATTTCGTGGAACGCATTCAATTCGTCAATCGAGGTATGACTGTATTAAAAAAGAAATAATGATTTACTTCTTTTCATTAAATATAAAAATTGAAAAAAAAATACAGATATATTTATTTAAGTATTAGTTTAACTTCATTAAATACTAATTTTGTCTGTGGTTACTAGTAATTATTGTTTGTTTTCACTAATTTTCAATTCGAATGTTGTTTGCTTTGTTAATTAATAAACAGCTGTGAGTTAACAATTGAATATAAATAAAAAAAACATATTAATCATCATATTAATTAATTATGAAATAACTAATCAATGAATCGCTGCTACTAATTACGTTGTTATTGAGAAAAGAGAGAAGGTCAAATTATAAAATATATGTACATTTCAAACGCCGCAAAAAAAGATTATTTACTTATTGAATACTCAAACAATGGTGCTATGAAAATTACTGCGTTAAACAAATTAATTGTAAGATAGATTCGGTTTCCTTGTGAAGATAATTGAAAACAATACCTGTAAATAGATAAATGTATTATTAGTCGTAACTTCCCTTATATTTTTCATTTTTTATTATCGTCAAAAGTCGTTAAATTTGGTCATTTCGAGGACCATATTTAGGTTTATGGAAGCACTGATACTAAAAATGTTATTGTATTAATAAAACATGAACTAATTATTGTTGTAAATATATGTACTTTATCAATAGATTATTCTCTGCTTGAATCTCCGTTAAAATTGTAAAAAAAGGTCGGAAAAAACTTATTTTTTTATGATTATAACTATGTAACTTCTTCAATAAATCACACAAAAAAAGATGGAATTTCTGCTTCTCCTTCGAACGCGCAATAAATGGCTACGTCTTACCTCACAAGTACCATCTATGGGTCAAAATGACCCGATTATTAAAAGTAAAAAAAAGAAATTATTAATTTTTTACAACAGACATAGATTAATTCTTATTATTCCATGCATTTAACATCATTTAAAACTGTGAAATTTTTTTCATTAAGTTATTATTTCGTACAATTTAAATATGCAATTTTATATCAGGAGATTAGTATCATTTAATTATAATTTATACGAATGGAATTATTGATAGCCATGTTGATTTATAATTGAAAGTCGTGATATACTAATAATAAATAAGTAAGTTACTATTCGAAGGCGAAGAAATATGTAACTATATTTCTAAGAAACGAAAGTATTTTAACGATAAATATTACAAAATGAATGATTGAAAATCTACATTTTCAATACAAATTTCTTTATCTTATTATTAATTAATAGTTATTGGCACATTTAGGACCAAAAGGCTATCAGTATTTATCTTATTCCCCTTTGTTTATATTAAACTGATGTATATGTTTATATAATAATGCGACTAAGAGACGCCGTAGATGTCTCTAGTTTGTTAATACACTAGATTAATAATAACAATTATAATAATAATGGTTGGACACAACAACTTGTTCTGTTCTTTTAAAGAGAAATAGAGCTTTTTTTTTTATGTATAACAACCTCACTCAATAAGTTCGTAGGATGACAAATACATGGTGCCTCCTCTATTGAAAGAAAGATTTTTGGATTTTTAAGAAGTACCAACCTTCAGACGACGCCTATCAAAATTTCATGGTAATCTGACGTTTAGTTCACAAGTTACAGCGATTTTAGTGACGCTACTTTTGGAATTTTCAAAACAATGGAAAAATCTGAATTTTATGTGTTGATAAAACATTACTTTTTGATGTGAAAAAAAACAGTTCTGCGTCGAGACAAATGGTAGACAAGTGGTTTGCTGACGAAGTCGTACAGACACGCAAATTCGGTAATTGTTGCAGAAAACATAAAAAAAAGTCCACAAAATGATTTTGGCCGATCGTAAATTGATGTTGCGTGAGATAGTTGACACTATGAAGATATCATTTTACATGAACATTTGATCATGAGAAAGCTTTATTCGAAATGGGTACCTCGCTCAAGCTTAAAGTGGTCCAAAAACAACGAGTTGATGATTCCAAGCGCTTTTTTGGAGCTGTTCAAGCAAAATAAAAAGGATTTTTTCATGCGGTATCTAACAATGGATGGAACCTGGATCCACCACTACACTCAACAATCAAATCGGTCGTTAGCTGAGTAGACAGCAAAGGATGAAAGCCGTATTTTGAGCCCAAAGATAAATCGTTCTACAAGAAAGGTATCGAAATGTTAGAGAAGCTTTGGTCATGTTCATGAATAAAGTCGAATATTGCCCAAAAGTTGTTGTTTTATTGGTCATCTTATTGAGTAAGATGCTATAAAGAATTATGACGAATAGTACTCCTCAAATATTCCGGACTATTTGAGTTCGGGCTAATTGAAGAACTAAATAAAATTGAAAAAAAACGCACAAATTGATAATAAAAGAAAAAACATTCCTGGTAGAAATACTTTGGTCAGTAGACTTTTGGTGGTAATATGATTAATGAAGTGAAAAAAAGTGAAATTAGATTATTGTTTTTCATTTGTATAAATTTCGAAGTAATATTTGTTTGTAAGGTATAATATTTATATAGATAAATTATTAGTTTATGAGGAGTTGTTATTGAAAGTAAATTAAGTCGTTAGATTGAATATTATAAAGGATTTTGGTGTTAAAAGTGTTTTATATTTTAAGCCTGTTTGAATTCTAGACCTTTTACCTGTTACCTGTCTTCGATAAATATATATATATATATAAAAGTCTTTACAACCTATGTCAAGGACAGCGGTCTTTGTCCTTGTACCAAATTTCAGGGTTAAACATTGTGCGGTTTCCTTTTTCTTGTTCTCTTATTTGCTTTTGTCAAAGCGAAAAGCGTTTCGGCTCGAAGCGAACTGGATCAAAATGGAGAACGTTTTTCGATCAGTTTTCGGGCCGATCGAAAGTACACGTATTGAGGTTAAAGGTGTCGTTAATATTGTTGGCATGTAAGGTGAGGTGGGTGGACACCTCGATCCGGAATTAACCTTCCCGCGAGATCCGTTTGTCTCTTACTTTTATCCGTTTCCTCTTTGTATTTTATTTTTTTTCTTGAACTCTCCGGCGTACTCCTATTGTAAATCTCCGGGCAGTCCAAGGTAGCTCTGCTCTAATTCCTTCCAAAGCCTCAACAAAACCACTTCCTTTTCCTTCTTTTCTTTGTTCTGTTTTTTTTTTCTCTTCATATCTCCGACGTTTACTTTCTCGCGAAAAGCAACAAACAGGCGGCTCGGGAGATTCAACAATTGCAGAAGCAATCCGGATTGGATAAACCGGAGCGGAGGTTCGTCATTCATTAAACAATTAACAGACTGTAATTGTTGTTGGGAGACACGCCCGATGTGACTGCTTCTGCAAGGTCGCACACTTAGTCGGCGATTTAATTATACAACCTAAACGTGGTGATTTTTCTTGTAATTATTATTGAAATCGATTTTATTTCCTATCGTATTCCGAACGCGTGCAACTTTCGTTGCGTAAGGGGGACGAATGGGACGAACTTCCAGGCAACTCCTGATCAGCTATGCGACACGAGGACTGCGAAATGCGGATCTAGTATTCACGTGCAGACTTAATCAACATTTTTGTGATTTTATTAGAAACTGAAATCGATAGAATTGATTTAAAAGTTGGATATTTGGGAAATGTAACGAGCAATTAAACATTGCTGTAAAAAATGAAGAAAGTGTTTCACATTTTATTCATTTTCTAGGAAACCATAGATAGAATCGATCCAAAAGATGCTTATGAAATCTGCTGTAGTTTACTTTGGCTGTAAAATTTGAAAAAATAAAAAATTGACCCTCTAAAAAGCAGTGATTTTCTCTAAGATGAAACCAAAAGATGGCATTGATATTATATCACCTATAATATCTATATACTAAGTAAGTGAATATTGATTGAATGCCCGAAGGTGTGATCGGCCTCCAAGCTAGACACATGTGAGAAAACATATGGAAATTGCTGAAGTTATTCTCTTATTCATAAGAAGATAATTAAATGGAGGTTACCGTATTTGTGGATGAATTATATGGAATCTAAGAGTGTTGCGCAAGTTTCCCTGTATTTAAATGTAATCAAATATAGCGTGGGTCGTTTCTCGCGCTGCGTAATAAATATCAATAATTCAACGCGTTCAAATGGACTCTAAAAGCTTTTAAGGATACGCAAGAAGAAAAACCTATGGTCCTATACTCGCGAGACTCGATACATTATGCAGAGGAAATGAATTGAAGTCCGACAACATTTCATTGCCAAATATCTTTCCACGCGCACAGACGACCGAAATTCCTCCACGCTCCTGATATTATTATTATTTCCATCTAGTAGTTATTAAGCCGGACGGACACCTCCAATTTAAATCTGCAGTGTTCGACGGAGCGAAAGAAACAAAACAAAACAACGCTGGTAATTGTTTCTTGAAGCGCGAACCGCTTCCGGAAAAAAAAATGGTTCAATGCCAGTCGTTCAATTGTCGCACGTTACCAGTGGTGATCAGGTGTAAACAAACCGACGGGCGAGTAAAAGTTGTTTACAGCGAATCGATTTGCATTTTCTCGAATTCCCTGTTTAATTAATTATTTACTCGTGGCGACCACGAAATTGAGTTAACGAAAGTCAATGTCAACGGTCGGATTGAATGGACCGGATTGTACATTGATAGTTTGTAAATAATCTTTGTGATGGAGTAAATGATCCGTCGAGCGCTTGCATTGATAATCTCGCCATCAATCATACCGTTATTGCATAATATTGCTCGTCTTTTGTAGGGAGGAAATGGATGACGTAAATTTATCAAACGATAATACTTTCTTTCATCGCCCGTTCAACTGATGTTATATTAATATTGCTTCCTTCTGTTTGTTCCAGATGCGCAGTTGATCGGTTCGGGGAGATTTCAGGCAGATCCTCTGCGATGATGTGATATTTAGAAAGAAAGAAAGCAGCAAACAGACAAAAGAAACAATTAGATGTTATCGAAGATGGGCAGTCTGCCTAATTTACACGAGCTGGGAAAGGCGGAGGCGGCTATAGATCACGTTAAGATTGGGCCGGCCGTGAGCAATCCGCATCAGCACAGCACTCTCACGCAGGACGAGAGGAATAAAATCCTGCACAGGCACAGCACCCACTGCAAAGCGAAATACAAAGAGAGGACCTCGAAGATTATCTATGACGACTTTATGCTTGAGGTTTTGATTGATTTCTTTGATTTAGATTTATTCATGAAATTTTACATTCTCTTCAAACAATCTGGAATTCGAAACTTAATTTATAATCTAATCAGTACTATTTGGCTACCAACTAAGCCGTCATATTAATACTTAGCTTCATGATAGTATGATTGTATCAAAATCGGGTCTATTTTAACGGATTTTGGCAATCAACTTTGTTAATGCACCATATTTATTTGTTGTGATTCTGTTGTTACAGCAAATGGCAACATATTCGCCAATCTGCAATAGATCAACGCGTAATTTAACGCACACCATAAGACGAAGAGATTCCATGAACAGTTCGATTGGGGCGAACAGCGTGAGGAGATTGATCGGCGTGGTGAGGAACACCAACAGCCGTCTGGGTCCTGTCTACAGTCGCAAAGTGCTCATCCGCAACGTGATCTTGATCTGCGTGAGCCACGTACTGATCACGGCGACCTTCCTGCCTTTCCTCGCGCTCCAGGGTAGCGTTTCGGTATGGACGCAGCCGATTCCGAACTCGGCCATACCGGTAACCATCAACCTGGGTTCTATTCTGCTGACCATCATGCACGTCGCAGCTGCTGTCTCCAGCATCTTAGCCCCATCGCTCATCCAAAAATGGACCACGAACGTCATCTTCGTGGTGGCTTATTCGATGTTGAGCCTATTCCACGCAGCGCACTTCCATCCTCTCCCCTACATCATCATTCCCGTCTACCTGTTGTACGGCCTCTGCCTGGGTCCTCTGTCCGTCGCCAGGGTCAGCTTTCTAATGACAATCTCAACCAAGTTGAACTACATGTACGGGGAGGAAGACGAGGAGACGAAGATCATACGGAGGACGTGCATCATTAGAAGAGTGGCGCGCGGTTTTCAGGCCGCTCACGATTTCGGATTGATATTCGGTTCAATCCTTACCGCCGCCCTCATCACAATCACCATCAATTTGAATACGCAAACCATGCAGCTGCAAATAGCGACTAATACGACGTCTAACAGCACCGATTGTTCGGACCAGTCCACTTGCGATGCGAATACCACCTCCATGAACTTCTACGAGTACAACTCTTTCCTGGATGACATCTTCGACGTGGATGAGATGGGGGATCGGCTGTGCGGAGCGCAGGCTTGTCCGTCTAGTTATCAGCTACGCGGAGAGTTTAAAGTACTGCCCGAAGTCACCACCGTCGCCTTGGTTGGTCTCTACGTGGGCATCTGCCTGGTGTCCATAGTCATCGTCGTGTTCTTTGTGGATAAGATTAAGTTGTACGTGTATCAGGACCCTCTAGAGAGGAGTCCCGGGTTTGCAGCCTTCCGTGGAGTCAAAGAATCCTTCAAGGATTCAAGACTGCAGATGGCCGCGCCTCTGGCCTTCTTCATAGGACTGGAACAAGCTTTCATGTACGCCGATTTCAGCAAGGTACTTAACCATTTATATACGCTATTACCTATTACACTATAATATTTGTTTCTTAGTCATACGTGGTGTGCACATTGGGAATTCATCGACTGAACCTGGTTTTCCTGTGCATGGGACTGCTTCAATCCATAGCCGCGTGCACGCTGAGTATGCTCCTCAGAAGCATCCGCCGATATTATGTTATAGGTACGAAGAAACGCAATTCCTAAAGACTTGACTAAAAGTAATACTCAATTTTTCAGCCGTCGGATTTACTTTTCACGCTTGCCTGATGATGGTGCAAATGCTATGGAAACCAATCGGCGACGATCCCGCCTTGTTCTACGTCATTTCCGCTGCCTGGGGCGTCTGCAACGCCGTTTGGGAGATGATGAACTTCAGTTAGCGTTTTAATTGCATCTTATCACTAAAATCTGAAATTATTTTTTACTATTTGCAGCTCTGCTGACTGGTCTGTTTCCCGATAACTGGGAGCCCGCCTTCGCCAACAGTTTCTTCTTCAGATTCCTCGGTCTCGGTATAGCCTTCGGCAGTCACGGATTGATCTGCAATTGGTTGAAGCTGTACTTCCTCGGAAGCGCGATGCTGGTGGCCGTCGTACCGTTCGCCTGGCTGGAAATGCGTCTGGAGAATATGCGACGCGTGAAGAACGTCAGCCGTTTATGACCGGCCCTCAGAGTTTGGTGATACGCCCTTCTTCATCTTCCGTGGAAAAGAAAACTGCCCAACTAAATTGGAATTGCATATTACATCTTCCGTTTGCGGAAAACGAAAAAAAAAATATTAACTGACTACAGACAACAAAACGAAATATTTAACGCCCACCTATTTCTATTCAAAGAACAAATTTGAAACGCCGAAGTTTTTGCAAGTAAAACATATCAACGTTATCTACATTATGTAATATGCAATTATTGTATGTAACTATTTGGATAGGCGAGTTTCATCGCAGTCTCGTGCATTCACCTCCTGTTGCGACGATGGAACCGGCAGCAATTTCGCTCAAAAACCGAACGATTTCGTGATACGAAATACATTTTTAACACTCATCATGATATTGGTTAGTCGCAATAATTGTCTATTGAAGATGCTCAATTTTTTTTCTAAAACCAAAGAGCAAATAACTAGTTGATTGTTGAATTATTATTAGTTAGAAGTTAAGCAACTTTTCTTTTATAATATTTCGTGGAACGCTTGCATCTCTCGATGATTATAATTAGGCAAAAAAAAGATATAACTGCTCATTTTCGTTGAACCTCCCGTCATTCAGTACAATATAAGAGACCATTGCTGAATAATAAAAAAAAAAATGTTGTGATTTTATATGAAAAAGAAAAAAGAAGAGATGTAGTCTGTAGACCACATATTGCCTTATGGATTGGTGAAGAGATGCAAGTTGATGACGAAAGAAAGCAATCGTAAATGTTTAATAATCGACCTTTTATTTTCGTTATATATTGTTTTGATCAATTGGTGAACTTTTAAATGTTTAGAAGGTAATAAGTACTCACGAGAGAATAATCTGCGTGCCAAAGAAAACAAAAAGCATATATTTGTTGATACCTGTACATAAAAAAAAACAGTTGCTCTGATCTTTAATGTCGTTTCAAAACGCTGGTGTTTCTATAACGCCCCGGCAATTTTATGATATACGAATCAAACGGTTTTCTACAAAGAAACGACATTAATCTGCTTCATCAACTTTAAATTAAATGAGAGAGGACATTCCTTCGTTATCTTTGTCAATTGTGTATATGTAAATAAGTATTATGGTATAAAAAGCGCAACTCAGAGAACATACATTATTATTATTATAATATATATACAAGAAAATATGAGAGAAAAAGAAAACAAACAACTATTAGCTAGACTGTGATTTTGTAAATAAAATTTTATGAAAATGAAGAGTTACAGAGTATGTTTTAATGAGTAATTAAAGAAATGCTGAAGCTATTACAACAACACAAAAAGGAAACATACGTTTTTAATCGATGTTTCAGTTCGCAATGTAGTTTGGTATTGTTTTGGAATATGGACATGAGAAATATATTTTTCAGTTGCTGTAAATTGAGATTGTAAAAAAATATTTATTTGTTATGGTAAGCATGTAACATATATGGTTCATATAAATCAGTCGGAAGAATCAGAGTCGGATTCCACTTTGGACCGTTTCTTCACTTGTTTCTTCTTGGCCAGCGACTTATTTTTGGATTTTCTAGTAACTTTCTTTGGAACATCCGGCATTTTGGCTCCTTCAGTCAACTCGAACATTCCCTTTATTTTACCCTCCAGCTCCGTCACGCGATCCTGCGTTAAATGTATTATAAACAATTTAACCCCAAAAGAAAGGAAGTTTAGAATGAAATACCTTGATTTCCTGTTTGACGACTCCCTTTGTGCAGTTTGCCAATATCTGCTTCAAATAAAGGTACACATCGTTGACGAGCACGAAATTCTTATACAATTCGAAATTCTCGGAGAGTTTCTTCAGACTTCTCTCGTTGTAATTAATTAAGGTGAGACAGAACGTGATGTTCTTCGCCACGTTTTCATCCTCGGATAAACGGTATTTGGCGCAGAACCTATCGACCAAGCTTTCCATTTGCTTGTTATTATCGATCAATCCAAACAGGAACCTGCACAATTCGTTAATTAAATTTCGTTGAGGTAATCTAAACCGGTAACTCACTTTAGAATCGTTTTTAGCTGTTCTTCATCTTTGACCTTGTCGCAGAGGTGCGTGAAGATATCGGGAAGTACGGTGTATAAATTGTTGGCTTTATGCGAGAGTTGCACGAAGAAGTTGGAGGCCATCTGCCGCATATCATCTTCCTCATCAACAATACTTATAGCCATTTCAGATATGTGTCCTTGGGCTCTGATCATATCTCTCAATATAAGATTCGATAAAATAAAGAACGCCGATTTCCGGATTTCAACACTCTTATCTTCTAATCTGTAATATATCAATTAAATTAAATACGTATTAAGAGTTGAAGCTCAGAGTTTACCTTAAAAATAATCGCGGTGTGTAGGGTTCAACAATATTTGGATATTTTTCTAGTAAATCGGAACAGTGCACCAGAATGCTGATTTTCACGTCTTCGAATGAGGTTTTCTCAAGTATTGTGAAGATCAGCTGTATGTGCTTGGAACAGAAATCGCTGGAAACAAGCATCAGCCTGAGAAGTGCAGATATCGCAGAACATTGAACATGTTCCTCATTGAAAGTATTAGGATTTTCACATTGATATACAATGTGACGGGACAATTTTCCTAAAGTACTGGAACTCGAGACTGTACGATTCTCTAGTAAATCAGATATATAGTCGGCATCCGCATCACAAGCTTGCGCTCCCTCCAAAATACTATCATCAGTCTAAAATCACATTCATTATAGACTAAACTGTTAAATTTTATATTAATTAACTAACTGCAGTTGCATCTGTACTGCACGACGACTGACTGGCCGAGAGTGAAACGTTGTTCCGCTTTCTCAAAGATTTATTATTATTCTTCTTCTTGTCGCGGCGGATAAATTGACGTCGTTTAAGCTCCTTGTAAATATCTTCATCCATAAAATTTAAAAACCTGATAGCTATTTCTCCAACAAGCACATTCATTCTAATAAGCAGAAATGCCTCCAAAGAAGACTCCTCAGTAGCATCGCCTATCTTGACCAAAGCGGTTTTTAAAATATCCTCAATAACGACCAACGGAGTTGAGCACAACTGCAATACCAAACGCACAATTATATTTTCGCATCTGAGATTATTAATATAAACTTACTCGGAATATTAACTCAACCGCAGCTGAAAGAAATCCATTGAAGAATTTAACTCTCTTATCGAAATTAGTGACGACCATGTCCCTTAGGGACTTCCACATCTCATCGTTTGCGTATATTCTATTTGGTGGATTCGGATCAGATATGTTGCGAACATCCATAGAGGAAACGCATAACATGTGGCACGCGTGTGTGGCTAATAGTATATCGTCTTGGCCACGCTCGCCGAAACCTATCGTACCAACCAATTTGATATTCCTGGTAACAATGGTTTTGCGACCTTTCGCTGCCATAGTCAATATGGTCAGGGCGGCTCGCGATTTATCTTTGCAAACATCTTGTTTCTTCAAGGTCACGTACTGCCACAGCATGTCTATAACAGAATTATCCAGTGTCCCTTTCTCCACCCACTCTGCTATAATTGAATTCAGATCCTGCAGATTATCCATCGAAATCGTTCGCAATAAATCGATCAATCGCTCCACGATTGTCGTCGTGTGATCTCTAACAAAAAAAAAACAATAGCAACATAAAACAAACTAAAGTTCAACTTTCATATTCAACTCACTCCATGTTTTCAGCGCTGGTAGTGAGGTAGATAGTTTTCATTGCGTTTAAAATAATATCTTTTCTGTCATGATCGCATGATCGGATTGCCTTTAGAATTTCTAAAATAAACCTATCAAGTATTAAATATAATTATAACATAAATTTTCTCCAAACCTAAGACTCCTATTAGAGCGTTGTCGAGTTTAAAGTTGTAAGCAGCAATGAAAAAGTTCACTGCTTCCGTCATATCGCTTATGTTGACTGAATACAAAAGATCGATCATCGGTTTCATAGCTTGATCCAAGAGCTCCAGAAACGAAACCGAGGTTTGCAAGAAATCAACTGTCGTGGAGAGCGCCTCCAAACGTTCCAAGTGTTCTTCAGTCGGTACAGCGTTTTTATTCTGCGTATTACTGTTTATGACTTCATTAATGTGATCTGGTATTTTCAGGAACATACTCTTCAGCAGCATCAAATAGAAACCAGCAACATCATCATTAGACATATTCTCCCTATACGTATAATATTAAAGAATCAAGATAGAACATAATTGTAATATATAACTTACTTGATATTCTGAAAGTTATCGGAATTCGCAGCAACCTTTTCGAAAATCTTAAATGCGTCTTCGTATTTACCTTCCATAATATAAAAACGGACTATAGAAGAATCAACATTTTCATCGATTTCCATAGATTTTTCATTGGAAGCTGCAATTAAATCAAATATTACATGGATCAATTAATAGCTACACAAATCACTAACATTTATTAATGTTGGATTCGACGACTGCTTTAATTTCGTTTTCCTTCTCGAGCCACTCCTGCTCCAGTTCCGTCAATTTGTTCAGTTTTAGATCATCCAATTCTGATTTCAATTTGTCCAGAAGTCCTTTCTTCTCCGCCAATTCCTCGCGCAATTTTCCTAATTCCAACTAAACACAAGCAACGTTAGCGTAAATTGGATTTTGTTAATTCTGTGTAATAACAATACTTTGGCTCCGAATAAGTTGTATTCCAGGAAGGTGGTGACGCAATTTGCTGCGACCTTCCTCACGTTCGCCGCTTTATCCCTCAAATGGAAGATCGCCTTCTCCAGGATAACATTTTGCATCTTAACGGGAACAGCGTTCTCCTTCTGAAGACGACACCAATGTTGGAAAACTTTAGATCGTACGCTTGCTGCAACATCAGCTATATGTTCCTCAAGAATCTCTAAAAGCTCATCCCTTGATTCCTTCTCCTCCTCGTTCAGATCGTTACGGGTAAGTGCTGCGAGGATCACCTCTACCATGACACTAAGCACCGAATTTCGTAAATGATACGACTGGAATTATATAATAGTTAAAAGTATTACCCAAACAAATATATTACAACTTACATCGTGAGCCAAATACTTATTCAAATACATCACTTCTGGTATCATCAAATCTGGCATTTGCACAGCCATTTGTGTAAGCACCATAGAACAAAACCTAGTGCCCTAAAAAAGAGATGAATTAGTTAAGCCAAAAATAAACACATATGAATCATTATACCTGAGAATCAGCAAACTTTTCATCCACCTGCCATTCTGTAATTTCCCTAACCAAATCCCTAATCAACATTTTGCAATTGTGGTTTTGAATAAGGTGTTGGACTCCCTCTGATATGCAGATTGTTAGATGTTCATAAGTCTTGACTAATTGGACAAGACGAATTACGAACGCCATGCCATGTCCTTCATGGACAACCAAGTACCCAAGGAAATTAAATATCTCTTGCCGTGTCTCCTTTTCTCCTTTAATTGTGGGAGCTTCCAGAAAACCATAACAAACATCTGTCAGCAACCTGTGAAAAGCATTGATCAAACATGATCCAATAAGTAATAAATAAACATTACTTGATAAAAGTGTCATCTACGCTGGGGGAGTTAAAAAAGAATCTCAGATCTTGTTGAATCAATTGATGCAACACTATGACCACAGACTTTCTTTCAATACTGTGCATGAATGCATCAGGATTCTTCTTTTTCTTTCCTTTGCTCTAAATTATAACAACAATTAACACAAACATCATTAATCAAATTGGTTTCCTCACCTTTCGATTAACAGATTGTACGAAATTCATTTCATTTTTATGATCAATCACTTGCACAATACTTGTATACAAGTACATCAACATTTTGATTATTGTATTGTACTTCATTTTCATCTCCTCATTCACACTATCTTTATCCTCTAGCAAAAATATCAATGATTTGATCAAATCCTGGGTGGCTAAAAACAATCATCAATAGTATACATATTAACACATAATAATATAATTACCTTTATGCAAATGCTCGTAGGCTGTAAACAGCATTTCCATTGGCAGTTGATCAGCTTGATGCAAAATCGAGAAATAAATATCGAAATTATCAGATATATATGTTGGGCCCTCATCTTTATAACAACCCTTCGCAACTGAAGTAAAATTTTGTTAGAATATTTGCACACAATTGATAAAGAAGAGAGTTTACCATTCAATGTTGTTGTAATTTCTCGTGGATTTATTATAGTTTTAACAAAATACTGGTCATCACTCTCTGATAACAACTCATTACGATTTTGAGGAATAACGAAATTTATATGGGACATGGTAACACTTAATAGTTAACAAGGCACAAGAACAAAACGAATGGAGGGGAAAAAAACGTTAACAAGTGTAAGTCAGTGCTGCAAGGGAGATTCAAACAGATTCAAACCACAAACGAATAGGTTTTGTTTATTATAACATACCAACATAAGAAAATAATTAAAGAAGATATTGATTTTGTTAATTTATCATTGAAATACTTTAGTTTTATTAATATGATATGTTTATAGATGATGAAATAATAATTATGTTGTCTTTTATAATTGAATTTGAAATGATTTTCAAATAACTATAAAGTTGAATTCACAATAGGCAACATGATGGTATAAAAATATTTGCCGTTGTTTCCCGCGTAATCCGGTCAAAAAAACTGTCATTAAATACAGCCTACATTTTGGTTTTTAATAACATTAACAGCTATTAATAATGGATATGGATGTGGATGAACCAAGTTCTTCTAATGTAGACACTATTAAAGACAAACTGTCTACTTTACCATGGTAAATATAATGACATAACCTTATATTAAAAGAAAGTTATTAATAATTTAATTTAGGATTGAGAAGTACAGACCTCAGAAGTTTGAAGAAATTGTTGGAAATGAGGATACTATTACTCGATTGTCTATATTCGCACAACAAGGAAATGTTCCCAATATCATTATTGCTGTAAGTTTTTTTTTTTCAATTGTATGGTTTGTCTTTTCAATAATGTATTTGATCATTTTTAGGGCCCACCTGGTGTTGGTAAAACTACAACCATCCTTTGTCTCTCGAAAATTCTCTTGGGCCCTGCTTTCAAGGATGCTGTGCTGGAATTGAATGCTTCTAATGACAGAGGAATAGACACTGTCCGGAATAAAGTTAAAATGTTTGCTCAGCAGAAAGTGACTTTACCACCTGGGAAACATAAGATTATTATATTGGATGAGGTGGACAGTATGACGGAGGGTGCTCAGCAGGCGCTCCGTAGAACAATGGAAATTTACAGTAACACCACACGTTTTGCTTTAGCCTGTAATTATTCCGAGAAAGTTATCGAAGCAATTCAATCGCGTTGCGCCATTCTCAGATATTCTCGATTGAGCGACGCGCAGATCTTAGCGAGAACTCTTCAGATATGCGAAAAGGAGAACGTGTCTTATGTCGAAGACGGTCTCGAAGCTATCGTGTTCACCGCTCAGGGAGACATGAGGCAAGCGCTGAATAACTTGCAGTCCACGCACAACGGTTTTGGGCTGGTGAATTCTACGAACGTTTTCAAAGTTTGCGATGAACCGCATCCGAAGTTGATTAAGGATATGCTGAACAGTTGCGTTCAAGGTGATATTAAGACTGCTTTTAAGACGATTTCGCATCTGTGGGATTTGGGGTATGCCGGTGAGGATATTATAAAGAACATTTTCAAAGTCTGCAAGAACATCGAACTGGATGAACCGCTCAAGTTGGCTTTTATCAAGGAAATTGGAATTACGCATCAGAGAATCGTCGATGGTTTGACGACGTTACTACAGATGGCCGGTTTACTTGCTAGATTGTGTTCCGCCGCTAAACAGCTGAAGAATAAATAGCATTATCATTTTTACCTTTAAAAAACTACTTGTTTATTATTAATATATTTTTTTTACAAAAACTAATATCAACAATTTTATTATTACATTTATTTACCTGATCCTTTTAATAATTAAAAACTAAGTAACGAGAATACATTGTCGTTTTATGCAGTGATGTGTACGTTCGTGTGATCATCGAGTACGTTGTGCGAACTAAGTGACATGTGTGTACCAAAAAATAAAGGGTCTACATCACAAGCCAAAGGCCGTCTATTGAAATACCGACGTTCGAAATCCCGGCTACCATAAAAATGTTATTGTAGAAATTTATAATTATAAAAGACACTGTCTGGATTTCGATACAGTCGGGATTTTGACAGTCGGGATAACGAACGTCGGGATTTCGAATATCGGGATTTCGGTTGTCGGTCTTGCGATTGCCACTGAAAAATAAATGTATGCTTTTATATGACAAATTAACTATCCGAGTAAGTTTGCTTAACGTACAGCAAAATTAGCAAATATAACTTGATTGTATACACGGTTATTTCCATCTACAAGTTCGGGAAATTATCTGATACAGCCATATCACAATTCAACACATAAGACAATTCTGCTCTGTAAATTCATACCATCAATACTAAAAAAATCTTCAGTTTACGAACAATATAGTACATAGAGTAATGCACTAATTGCATAAATTATTTAATACTTGACCCGTTTAACAAGGGACTGCGAACTCTTAGTCCAAGTAGCGTGTTGCGGGTAGACGTTTTAATATATTATTTACACGTACTAATACAATATTACTTTGTTGAGCACGAACAAACAAATAGTCAAACCTTTTGTACGGTGTACGTTACAATGGAATACTAAATTGGCTGATAACAATAATAATGAATTCCGTAATGCACTGTTAATGGCGAAGTAAACTGAGGAAACGAAGCGGTTATCATATTGAATTTGCATCGATTCGAAATAAGTGCACTATATAGTTTATAAGATGGAGAAGTGCTTGTAAGAGTACTTGAATTGCCGGAAGCGAGGATGTATTATTAGGAGCGTCGCGAAAACGTAGGAAACTAAATTATTAAACTCGTTACAAAAGCTGCGCCACCTTCAATATTTAATAAAGCAAATATTGCGCAACCTTCTTCAGAGCACTTAACGAAGGTAAATGAAACTGTGATTACGATATAAGCAATTAATATTTTATGCAATTTTATTTGACAAAAATCGAAAAATAAGTAAATTATGCAGCAGCGTTTCTCAACATATTCTTTTTTCGTAGTTGTACTGCGACCCAATTCTTTATTACATACATTTTTGACATAAGGTGACAGCTGTCATTTTTAATATTAACGGGACCTTTAGGTTAAGAAACACTACTATATATCATTTCCGGTGACAATCGCAAACACGACAACCAAAATCCCGTCTATCGAACGATTTCGAAATCCCGACGTTCGAAATCCCGAGTGTATCGAAATCCCGATGTTCGAAATCTCTATATCGACAATCAAAATCCCGACTTTATCGAAATCCCGACAATCTAAAACTTAATAAGATTATTAATTGTTGTTATTTATTTTTAATAACATAAACTAATTTTATTATAGAATATTTCTTATTCTAAACTTTTATAATGAATAAGTCAACGAAAAAAAATACAATAATAACTAATATTATTTATTGTTATTAAGAATAAATAACAACAATTAATAATCGGGCAAAAGAGCCATCGACCTAAGTCTTAAAAGTATTTTTTCAGTATCCATCGTACCTATTAAAATATAGTAGAATAATATAAAAATGTTATTGTAGAAATTATAATAATAAAAGACACTGTCGGGATTTCGATTGTCGGGATTATGGTAGTTAGGATTTAGATATATTCGGGATTTCGATACTGTCGGGATTTTGATTGTCGGGATTATGGTAGTCGGGATTTCGATACACTCGGGATTTCGAACGTCGGGCTTTCAATAGACGGTCTTTCGGTTGTCGGGCTTGCGATATAGACCAATCATTTTATATTTGTTTATAATAATATAATGAATTATAAAAACAATACTAATATGTACAATATTGGACACAAATTATAAATACAATGTTCTCTTGGGACTTTTCTACAACTTTGTAATTCAAAATTCAATTTGTTTTCTTGAGGATAATAATAATACTAATGTTTATTACATCAGTAGTACAAAAAAAACATACAGAAATAAAAAGAACAAAATAAATATATATAATTTCAAAAAAAAGTCAACTGATACAAAGGGCTATTGACCTTAGGTCTTTCTGCTCTTGAAGATAATATTATATCAAACTTTTTTTGATTTACCCTTATTTCCATAATTTTTCTAAAATGTTATTACAAATAATTTAGTTAAATATTTTATAATTTGATACAAAGATTATGATTTTTTTCAAAACATATTTATAAAAATATTTAAAAAAATATATATATAAACAATTATATATTTCATTATATTTACCACAATGAAATAATTAATTTTGAAACTACATAAATGCAACAATAATCGCATGAACAATATGAACGTAATCATTGGAAATTGTTGGCATGAATAGAATTATTCGAGTTGAATGAATTTCGATCCATTCATTCGGTTCCCATTAAAATAATGCGGCGCAAATGTAGCAAACATCTCAAATACTTAATAAAATTACAATTTGCCTCGGTTTCTAGTCCGTAATCTAACCACATTACTTCTTGCAATGAATCGAGGTTGAGCAAAATTATATTGAATAATATAAATTTTAGAAATTTTACGCTTCAATCTAGTATACAAATACTTGTAATGTAAATCAGCGCTTCTCAACCTTTTTGACACGCGGCCCAACATATTTATTTGTATTTATAATTTAATTTGCTTTGACACATGATGACAGCTGTCATTTTGTAAAAATTGACTTGACTCAAACTTGGGCCACGAACCATATGTGAAGAAACGCTGATGTAGCATGTTTTTTTTTATTATTTTGAAACGGTCTAAAATAAAGGTCATAATATTAAAATACTTGATACAATTAGACTCGATTTCCTGGCTTTTAAGTAACCGTTAATTAAGTATAAATTGATTATCTTCGAGGTAAATCTGATTAAATTGGAAATTGCTGGTATAAATAAGCTATTCATTTTTACTATTTAATATTATGTATGTACAGAGTGTGATCATTTTGCGCTACCGAATCTGGAAGGTGTGCGTAAGAGTTAAGAGAGAGAGGGAGATGAAAGGATGGGGTTTGGAGGGTTGGATTTCTGGGGGATTTTCGTTTTGCGTCGCTGGTGCCCACAGTGATATTGATTTTTACCACCCTTAATAACACTCACACTCGCTCACGTACGTGCACACACGTATACACGCGCGCATGTAGACATGCAGAGACCTCTCACCGTAAGGGTGACATCAGGACTATTATTGCGGGTGCAAATAAATATGATATAATCATAGTAAAATTCTTGCTGGTGCTGAAGAACTTTGTGCTCGCCGATATTGCAACAGTGCGGATTAGTAAAAGAAAGAAAAAGAAACAAAGAAGGAGAGAGAATAGGGTGGATAAGTGGGACTTGGAGATCCGGGCTAATCACAATGCAGTAAACACGAACGGTGCGTACAACAGAACAGGAAAAATAACGAGATTGAGAAAGAAAGGAGAAATTAGGAAATATTTCGATATAAAATTACGCGAATTTCAATTGATTCAAATAACTTTAACTTTTGCTTCAATTCTTGATTCATCTGACGCGAACTGGACGTAAGATGACTGTGATCAATTTCTGATGCAGCGTACGAACGGCTGCACTTTTATTATTAAATAATTGATGCATTTATTTGTTGTGACCGAATCGATTTCTTCGCGTTTCGCCGGCACCGCTTGTTACCTTAGTTTGTCTTTTTCAATTCACGTCACGCAGCAAATGTAGTATTCAATTTGTTTAAGCTAAAGAAAAACGCAAGTATGTGTGAAAACAAACGGTATTCTTTTGCAGGATTCGTCGAGAGAAGCAGAAGCAGCGTCCACCTGAAGGTTTCCTAAGGAATCCTCCAACTAGGGTCAACACAGGGCGGCGGGAGCGAGCGCGAATCGGAGAAGATGTACGCGTTTTTAATAAATAGTGTGCAGCGGAATTTAAACGAGAAGGTGAAAAGTTTTTGACATGTGAGTGGATTCCTCTGAGAGTTCGCCGCAGACATGCAGAACAAAGACGGCACGAACTCCTCATCCGAGGTCCACCAATATGTTGGTCCTTACCGACTGGAAAAGACCCTCGGCAAGGGACAAACAGGTACACATTTCTAAAAAAAAACCACATCTCTTTCACAGCACTTTTTTTTTCACGTTTTTTTTTTGTTTGTTTTATTATTTACTCATCTCAGTCCTCTCCCCATCACTCCACTCCCTCGCTAACCTTTCATTTTCGGTCCAGGATTACGTCCTAACATAGATCTTGAAGAGCTTGTTTTCTTTGCTTTCCACTCTATCCACATTCTCCCAGACTTCAAATCCTTTTTTTTTTAATTCTTTTAGCAAATAAAAACATATTTTTTTATTATTATTTTATTTATTTTGATTTCATTCCAAACTATTCGATTCGCACACCTTTTTCTATTTATTTAGTTTTTTAAAATGACGTTATTATACTTAGTTTGTTCTGCCCAAAAACTAGTTTTTTTTCTTAATCACTACAAAAATATTTAATGACCACGTAAGATTGACTCTCCGGTAATTTTAATTTGGTATCGATCTGTGAACTTTGGGGACGAAAGAAGACGACGATACGTTAAAAATAGGGAAAGATAAATAGCGTCTGGCGGCGACCTTATATTTTCCCAAGATCGTTTCTCAATTCAATAATGTAGAGGAATCGAACATGTTCGATAATCTGACGAAACAACCAATGCAATTATTTTACACTACGTCCATATAGATTATAAGAAAAATACAACATTTATAAAGCTTTAAGTTTTAGTTATTTTTCTCATAAAGAAATTTAAAAATAAATCTATCGAAAATGTTCAATGATTCATTAATAAAAATGATGCACTTATAAATGAAACATTGAAAAAGAATACAAATTAATTAGTAAACATAAATATAAGAAAAAAAAGTTACATTTTTAATGCAAACTAATTAGCTTTATGTATATTTTATAGCTATGAAAAAGTATAAAAATATACATGAACAAGTAGAAAAAACAAACGAAAATGCTGCTGACGTCATTATTGGCTAACAAATAATTACAATTAGATTTTGTTTTCAATAATGAATGAAAGATACGATTGATATCAAATAAAAATTAAAATCAATATACACTTTGAATAGTGTATCTTGTATATTGCAATAAAAGTAAAAATATTTACAGAAATACAGTCATAGTTCCGGCTTCTATCAGTCCGGATTTGATGTGCAAAATAAGATTAAATTCAATATATTTTTAATGATTTTGTAATACTTTTTCCAAGTATTGTAATTATTATTTGTTTGGTAAACAAAATGTAAATGTATAATCTTCGTCCGGGGGATTTTCATTGATAATTGATTAACGATTCGAGTTAAATGGACTCAAATAAAACCAATAAAAGTGGATTAGTTCTGGGTGTTTGAATTTCGGTGATTATAATTAAACAAAGCTCGTCGGAGCAATAAGCTCGAGGTATTAAGAATCATTTATGGGAGAGGACTAAAATGTGGTAATTAGTGAACAGGAAATTGCTGATTACATTATACCCAGATCCTTGTTTTATAAAGAAAATATTTAGTTCATATTTTCTACTAATTACTCATAAAAGTCGTAGATATTTGGTGTAGATTACTTATTGAAAAATTGAGTCATCAAAATTTCCGATTTCATCAATATTCTACAGTTTCAAACCTGTCGATTATAAATGAATAGCATAAAAAGTCACTTGAGTATATAAACACAAAATTTATGTATAAAAAATATTTCTTTTTCTGTGTTTTAAATTTTCTAAATCGGTTGTAAATTCGCACTGTTCGAGGTGTTGCTGCAACAATCATTGAATTCAGTCTTCTCACATTTATTTTTGAATAGCAGAAGAAAATTGACTATTTTAATTGACGCGGATCATTTTTTTTTATATAAATAACTAAAGAAACATTTATATATTAATAAGTGAAGGAAATGTTTAATTAGTTTCATATATTTTTTATGAAAGTCGTATGTATTCAAATATGCGAATACGAGAAACTAAAATTAATTAAAATTTGATAAAATTGTAGTAAGCATGATGATGAATTCCTTCATCTTTCATTTAAAAAAAATATCAAAAGAAAAACTAGATAAGCATTTATAATTTGAAGAGATCTCTGGATCAATACGTATGCTTACTCGTGTTAGTAATTTAAACGGGCATAAAGACATTAACCTTTTGAGTCATGGTCAAATTCCGAGTTACGATCGTTTGGGAATTTTTTTTAATGAAAGCCGTATACGGATCCCAGTTGGTTTAGAAAACAAAACGACAAAAAAAACAATGAACGACACGACCTCGTGTTATCTGTTTTACTGTACCAATGTTTACCTGTTTCACCAGTTTACTGCCGGTGTCAGTAGACTTCCGCTCTGTTTGCATCCGCCCATGGAAAAATAAACACGCTTTGGGACAATTTTATGCCCGCATGATCAAGAATTATTTCTGCCATCATACGCACATCCCTTTCTTCGAAATGAGTTTTTCATCAATTGTGTAATACTTTTTTTTGTCTTAATCCACTATTCTTGGAATTCTCAATATTACCACTATTATTATTGAGAATTTGCAGTTATTTGTAAACAATGTTTGGAGAAATATGACTGTATATTGACTTATATTGCGATATACCATAATTTTACTGGCGTTACGTAAGGTGACAGCTGTCATTTTGCTATACATTCCATTATTGTATTCTATCTCTTTCTCTTTTTAGAGATCAAGTAGAGTAAATGACAGTTTCAAAAAATATTATCATCTCTTTTCTAATGAAATCATCTTTCTGTAAATTAGTACTATTTTAATATAAAAATTTCTAATGAAAACTAAAAATATCTTTACAACGGTTATGTTTCATGATTCAAATATTTTGTCGTAAGGTGACAGTTGTCATTTGACAGATATCAATTCCAATATAGGATTTACACGTTTATTAGTTGAAACTACCTCTTTTTAGAGATCAAGTAAAGTAAATAACAGTTTCAAAAAATATTATCATCTTTTTTTTCTAATTAAACCATCTTTCGGTAAATTAGTTCCATTTCAATATAAAAACTTCTAATCAAAAATATATTTACATCGGTTATGTTTCATGATTCAAATATTTTGACGTAAGGTGACAGCTGTCATTTCGTTATCAATTCCAATATTGGATTTTCACGTTTCTTAGTTGAAACTATCTCTTTTTAGAGATCAAGTAGAGTAAATGACAGTTTCAAAAATATGTTCATCTTTTGTGTAATGAAAGCATCTTTCAGTAAATTAATTCTATTTCAATATAAAAACTTCTAATCAAAATCAAAAATATATTTACATGATTCAAATATTTTGACGTAAGGTGACAGATGTCATTTCACTATCAATTCCAATATTGGATTTACACGTTTCTTAGTCTTCTTAAATCTTCTAATCAATATTGAAAACTGCTTAAAATATTAATTACATTACTTTTTTTTGAAAATATTTATAAGAATTAATTTAGTGTAGTGTCATAGATCGTGTCTTCTTTGCCTAAAATTACCAACCCAAATACTGCCGGATCGAACCTGACCGGAGCCAATACAAAAATGAATAACGTGTCACGACAAAACGATAAAACTGGAAACCGAACAATTCGTTAAACGATAGCATCAATAAAAAATAAATCATTTATATCTATTCATCATCGTTTCTGTATAATTATAACTTTGTTTTACAACAGTTTTGCTATACTTTTATTAAAAAATAATAAATTACAGCTATTATTTAAAGAAAATTGATATTATCGAGAAATTCAATCTTTCACATAAATTTATAAACATAATATAGAAAATTATTATAATAAGTTTTTTATTAAAGAATGATTTTATTTAACTTTATTTTAAATGATAATATAGTTTTCTTAACAACTTAATTAATTTTCAAACTTATTTTTTTATTAAGAAATCAATGAAAGTTACAGAGGAAACAAAAATGATAATTATTTTACGTTTTTGCATATGCATATTAATTAAGACGGTTTCGTGCTATTTAAAACCGTGTTATTCGATACACACGTATGTACTTAACTGTACAAGATTTTGCCTAATGGCGAAAATATTTTCTATTAAAATTAGAGAATAATCATCATACCATGTTAAACAAGGGCTGTAGCAATCTTTTATTTGATGATTATATGAAACACAAGTGTTGTATTATTCAAAAGTTGCCTATACACATCATACATTTTGCATATACCTGGCTCCTCCACCAATATTGTTAACTCTTCATTCTTATTTCATTTACATTGAATTTTATAATTTCAAATAAATATGTATATAACTTTATAGCATATTTAGTTTAAATTTATCAGAGGAAAGCTGTTTTATATGAATAGTATAATATTTTGGTGGAGGAGCCAGGTACAAAGAGAACTTATTATGTAAAACCATAATCTGTATTCAACAATTTCTTATTCATAATTATGCATTTCGTTGCTATTTATGAAATGCACATATTATATATGAATTACGTATGCAGTTAGTTGGATTTAGACAATCTAAACTATTTTCGTGTGCAAAATATTTCTATTTTTCTTTATAATTTAACTCTTTTATAAGCAAATTTGTAGAGAAAATTAATTTTGCTTGGATAGAATATAAGGAAAGTTCACGTTTTAAATGAAAATTTTGATGCAAATAAAGATAATTGAGTTATATGAATTAGTTGGAAATATTAAATTAGTGATTTGGGTGATTATCATTTAAAAATATAAAAAAAACTATAAATTAAATAAATTGTAAATATTAATAATGTTTGTTTTTTCCAATTTGAATTTGAAATATCTCGCATAGTGCAGCTTCGATCAGTCCGGATTCACTATAGTTCTACAAATAAGCGGTTATTCTCTTAATAGTCAAGTCTCTTGATTATGCACACTATAAGAGGTTTTGTAAATATTATAAATATATATTAAATAAGAATGAACAATTTTGGTGGAGGAGCCTGGCACAAGTTACATGTGTGATTATGTGATGGTTGTAACTATGACTACTGAGTCAAAATAATAACAATTACAAATAAGATTGTGTAGGAGATATATCGATGAACTTTTGAT